TTTTTTTTGAAAAAAAAAAAAATTAAAATCAGAACTTGGTAGGCTTAATTTGAATATATTATATTAAAATGGAATCTAGAAAGTGTCAATTTATTTGAGGATTTTCCATCAAATATTAGAAAGAAGACAGGAAAAAATTGTAATTTAATTACAACTACAAGAAATGGAGAATAAGGACCCATTTGAACCCCATTTTATTGTAAGAATGTATTTTAGAATAATAAATCGATGAAAAATGTATAGTTAAAAATAAGGACAATTTTTTAATTTGAGTTTAAAATTATTTCATTGAAGAATGTTTTGAGTGAAACAAAGATAGAAAAAAATGTATTTTTAAAATAATGAGGATCAAACAAACTCTAAATTCGAGGAAAACATTCGAGAATGCCTAAATGTTAGCTAGATAGGCATAACTCGACATGCTTTAAACACGGCTTGGGTATGTCACGAAGCAAGCCGACCCACTACTAAAGTCGAGCTGTTTATGCCTCTTTTAAGGCCAGCTTACCCCATCACAGACCGAACTGGATCCATATAAATTGAGTGCTAAAGGAGACCCATTCCTACAGTCGAGCTGTGCATGGCCTCAAAGACCAGCCTGCCCCAGACCGACCAAACTGTACCCATATAATTTTAGTGCTACAGGTGACCAGCAAGGTTCGATTTACACACAATTATAGTGCTACAGGTGACCCAACAAGGCTTGATATACAAGTCGACGTGAAAGTTACACGTCCACAGAGAAGTGAGCTACCATTGCAACTTCACGCAAGCTCAACCAGCTTGCTCTCTTCCATGTTTTAATTGAGCCAAGCAGACCAACATAGGTTATGAAACTGAAAATAGGCATGCCACAGTAGTAGACAACTTAACCAAAAAGTCCAGATTTTCAACCTTCGAATCCATAAAATAAATATACAATCTTCATTTTAATAATGTACGTAAAAACATCAAGCATTCCAGATGAAACTCAAAACAGTTACGAAATTGCACTTTGCACATAAGATTAATATATACGAAATCTCATAACGGGGATAACAATGTGTCTTTAACATAGACAACAAAGGTTCCCATGTCATGTATTATCAAATGATTCTTATTACTCCACCAGCTGTATTGATAGCCAACCGCCATGGGACAGCTGGAGTTCCTATTCATAGAGACTTCTGAATCCTTCAAGATCTTTCTGTCCATCAAGCAAACTAGAGGACCAGAAAAACAACAAATTTACCACCCTGCCTATCTCCTAATACCACATTCTGCCTGATTTAAATTATTTGGCCCCATAATAGAAGAAATAGGGTAAAAGCAGTTACTCCTCCACAATATTGACCAATTCGTATTCCACCAACGACAGGTTATTATCTTCATTGACGGTGAAGCTGGCTGGTTCAGTAACTTCTACGCGTCCCCACTTATCCACTGCAAGCCTCATTGATCCCTTGAACATGTCAATTTTTGCATTTCGTAATATTATCGTAGATTCAGGCTTCATCAGGTCCACTGCACGATCGATTGTCACCAAAAATGCAATTAGACTCACAGACCTCAATTCTACATAAATATGAAATGAGCAGAGTCGCGGCTACACCAAAATTATAACACTCCAAACTCAATTACTTGTTGCAAAGTTGACTACCATTAGCTTAAGGTTTTCACTAACAGCAAAAGCAAAGTGAAATAGAGGTTTGCCTTCTGAATAATCGTCAACCAGAATTCCAATTGAGAAATAAAATACTACTTGCGTGAATCGTCAACCAAATGAGTTTTGAATAGTATTTTTAGGAGAATGTGTGGTTAAAAAGTAGGGAAAAGTTTTTAGTATACATATAGAATATTTTATTGTGTGAATATATAGATAAAAATAATCCTGCAGCAAAAAATAGGCCATGCCATGATAAGGTACAGGAAAGGGTAATGAACAAGCCTTAGCGACCAAGGAAATTGAGAGTGCAGCAAATCTATAAAGTTTAAACTTTAAACTAAAAACTAAAGTTAGCTGTGTCAAGTCAGCTTAAATTCCTTGCATAATAATTCCGAATTCCACGTTGTCTGAAATCTAATTATGCTACATCATCACTATTCATAAGCTACTGAAGCACAGAGAAAGGGGGAGGAAAAATGTTCAGAGCAAATTAAAGGATTAGAACGAATTTGAAACCATAAGAAATAAAGGGGGAAGAACAACTACAAACGCTGCTACAAGAGCCATTAATATCACTCCAAACACTGGGCAGCGGAGTGTTATTAGGGAGTAATCCGTGAACTACGGAAGTGAATAAAGAGCCACAATGCATCAGAAATTTATCATAAAACACCACTACAATGATAAAGAACAAAAATCGGCACAACAGCACTACCATACCTTGGTCATTCCTTGCCGTAAACACAATGGTCCCAGTTTCATCTCCGACCAAGCATTCAGCAATCCGCATTTGACGTAGTTTGGGCCCATCTGGCCTGCCCTTCTGCATTACCACATTGGCACTCACGACCTTCACTACAATATTGTGTCCATTAGTTCCAGGCCTGAGCTGATCAACCTTGGTGAAAACTGGCTTCCTCATAGCTGATTTAGCTTCAGCCATTAGAAAGAAAACCTACAATATGGCAATGCAATCCCCGTCAAGGGCATAAATAAAGCATATTGAACTTTAAGCAAATGGAAGCCAACAACTGTCCTCCTCCCCCTCAAACACACCCAGATGGAGGAGACAGAATATTCTATTTGTTGCAAGAATAACAAAGTTATACCACGATACAAATCATTCCAGATAATAAATTCATGCATAAATCAACACCCAGGCACAAACTAGATGAAACAACACTTTAAAAACAATATACACATTGTTTACAAAACGTCGAAATTACATTTTGAGTGCCATTTGTCCAGACTTATGTCTTGACTTGCTGAGGCAGGCACCTCAAGAAGTATAAGCTGTGAGCTTGTTCTTCTCTTATTTTGTGGCCTTTTAACATTAACCGCAGCTTCTTGAGCTGGTCATTTATAACTTAGAATATTTGAGCTTTTTGATTATTTCAAATACAACCCAATCAACATAGAAAGGAATTGGAGAAGAGAGCATGTAAAGCAAGCCAACTTTTCAAGAGCGTATGACTGGTGAACGGTGCCATATGACAACTAACTATTTTCATTGCTTAATATTTTGCTCTGTCGCCTTTTCTTTTTTTGCCTTTACAGGGAAGGGGAAGTCATCGTTGCAAGTGGAGAATAAAGGCAATTGAGAAGAAATCAATAATGACAACGGACATGGAATTCAGATATCTTTATGATTCTCTTGAAAAACCTATTAGTAGCTATAAGATAAGAGGTTTTTCAGCTCTCTTGTTATAAGAGTACATAACTCAATCGCACTTTTCTAAACTTCGCAGGTACAGACATGTATACTGAAATATATATTATCTCAATCATATTGTAATATAGGACAATACCTGACTTTAAAATCACCTACGAAAGGAAGACGAATATAATCAGATCACAAAGAGAGAAAATCTTATGCGAACGATTAATTGAATAATTACACGTAACCGGCGTAAACGTAGTTGTCAAAAGCTCAACTCCTCGTGAATTATTTTAAAAAAAAAAAAAAAAAAGACCAAAAAANTTAAAAAAAAAAAAAAAGCACAAAAATACTTCAAAGAGAAAACAATTCATATAAATGGGGTATTTTGAGAAAGCAAAAGTATGATATAAAAACCCTAATCTTCAGATTGAACTAATTGAAAAATGAAATTCTTTAAACTAAAAACTAGAATAAAAATAGATCCAACAATGAGAAATTTGAAATACCTTTGAAGAGGAAACAGATTGAGAATTGGTAGATGGAGAATGGGATTCGGCGATCTTCTTTCACTCCGCTGCTGAAAGGCATCGAGAGGCGACTGAGAAATCGTCCTTTTAACGAAAAGTTCTTTTGGGTGTGACCGTTGATCTTCCGCTTTTTCTCAGCTAATCTCTACCGTCCACGTTTCATGATTCTAAAAGCGTTTGCTACCCACGAAGAAATCTTCATTGTTAAGTATCTTTAAAATAATTAACTTAAAAATAAATTTAATTTACTTTACTTTACTTTATCCCCCTTTAGTGTAGATTAAAATCAAATTAAAATTTCAAATCAAAACTAACAATTAATTTTATTTACACATTTTATCGAATTCACAATTTTTCAGTCTCACATTTTATCAACTTTTACCAAAATCTATTAAAAATTTAATATGTGGTTAAAAAAGAAGGAAAACTTATTCATCTGATAGAAATATTATTTTATTGAAGAATGTGTAGTTGAAAATGAGTAGAAGAATAAGAATGAAAAAAATAATGTGGATCAAATAGGGGCTTAACTCAACTTTAGAACTTGTCAAGATCAAATAAAAAGTAAATACGCGTTTTCATTGCAAACCAAAGGAAATCTAAAAAACAAAATTATTTTAACAAAATGAGGTTGATACTACGATCTACTTTTTTGCTAAAGAAGAAAAAAGAAGAAAAAGCATAGAATGTGCTTGCTTAGCTCTCGTCGTCGTCGTCGTCGTCGGATGATTTGCAACACGAAAGGTAGGATCAAAGCGTACGTCCCAAATGCGTAGGGAAAAACAATTCTTAATTGTTGATACAAAAAATAAAGCCACATGTCATATCTATAATCTATAATATATTAAGCCCCTGTTTGCCCCCCATTAATTTAAATTTTTGGGGGGTAGATAATTTTTAGAATAGTGATTGATGGGAGATGTGTGGTTGAAAAGTTTTTGATTTGTGTGTATTATTATTTTATTTGATGAATGGATGGTTGAGATGAAGAGAGAGAAAAAATTAATGTAATGGAATGTGATAAAATTTTCTACACATCATACAATGTCAAATTTAATGAAAAACTAATTTAGCCCCTGTTTGCCCCCCATTAAATTAAATTTTTGGGGGGTAAATAATTTTTAGAATAGTGATTGATGGGAGATGTGTGGTTGAAAAGTTTTTGATTAGTGTGTATTATTATTTTATTTGATAAATGGATGGTTGAGATGAAGAGAGAGAAAAAATTAATGTAATGGAATGTGATACAATTGGGGGCAAACAAGGGCTAAATATCGCATCAAGTGAGAATTATTTTTTGAACGATTTTAGCTCTACTATAATTTAATTATTTCAATAGTAATTTACTTTTCGTTTTAATATACATTTATTTGAATATTAATTATTAAATATGCATGCAAATAAATAATTGAATCATACGAGAACAATAAAATTGAATCATGAACATGAAGTTTAATTAATTCGAATCAATAAATATAAAAAAAGAATAATGTATATACATTTAAACAAAGGGGATGTATGTGAACCAACATAAAATTTAATTAATTTGAATTAATAGATATGAAAAAATAATAATTTATATATATATATAAACGAAGGGGGGTACATGAACCAATATGAAATTTAATTAATTTGAATCAATGAATATATAAAAAATAATAATTTACATATATTTAGACAAATTGTGTTATATCATAGATTAAATGAATAATATTGAAATTAAATAATTGTACATGAATTTGAATAATTTATTTACTCTTGAATAACTCCCAAATTATATGATCTTTAATAATTTATATACTCATAGAATAATTTCTGATAAAATGAATAATCTTGAAAATAAATATGTGTTTATGAACTTGAATAATTTATTTACTTCTAAAATAATTGAATAGCTACCAAAACCTGTGTACGTGAACTTGATAACTTAATGTTATATTTAATATATCCATAAATAAATGTTAATTAATATACATGCACATACATAAATAATTGAATTATAGTATTTTTAGAGTAATTGAACAGCCCCCAAATAATATAAAGTGTACATGCATAAACTTGAAGAATTAATTGATTGAATTATAGTATGATATATATAAATTAATGTTAATTATTATTATACACGTAAATAAATAATTGAATTGTATAAAAAGTTTATTTCACATAAACAGATTTTTTTAACTATTTTTTATATTCGCAGATTTTCAAATATCATTTTTACAGCGTTTATAAAGCATTTTCAAACTAACGTGCACCGCACATTTAGCTGTGACTAGTGTTAATAAAAAAATTCTAGGTATTATGTTAACAAATTGATCCACTCCCAAAAACAAATGAGATTTCATAAGTTCAGGGGCTTACAAAGACTCAACTATCTTTCGAAAACTAATTGAATGGAATTATGACTTTCCAAAATATTGTTGAAATATAAAAGAAAGAAACTATTACTTTTCATGTAGTTTGTGGGAACGATTTTCTTCTCAAGGTAATAGATGGCTCTTTTTTCCAATTATTCTTCTATCATGCAATGAATGTAAATATAGTGAGAATGATCTATTAAACATCGTTAGAGCATTTGTAGGAGACTCTATTTTTAAATAGTATATTCTACAATTTATAGAGCATCTATAAATTTAAAGAGTAAATTTTTTTAAATGCTCTAACAAATTCTTTATATTTAACACTTAATTTTACTACTCCCGGAAAATATTATTTTTTGCCCATTTTTTATTTTCATTAACTTTTCTTTAAATTATTATATTATTTTTCCTCCATTTAAATACTTTGAATACATTTAATTATATAAAGTGGGTTTGGTAATTTCCAAAATTTGGAGAGTCAAACACACTCTATAAATTAAAATGTTAATTTAAAGAGCATTTTGAAGTATAATTTTAGGGGTTGACTATTTAAAATAGAGAATATCTTATGTTTAAAGAGTTCTACGAAGATACTCTAACTTATCTTATGTAAGCAATGTTGATACGGCACATGAATCCCACAAATCTAATGTAAATCTTGGATTTAGGTAAAACTTACTCACCAATGAATAATGCTATATAACATCAATGGTATTGGAACACCAATATAAGTAGTCACATTTGATATGTTCAATTAAATGAATCATGTAACATTGTATTAATTAAGTGAATCTATTTTTTAGAGTTTGTTTGATTCTCATTTTTTCAAAATATATTTTTCTTTCTTTTCTTTTTAATCACTCATTTTTCAATAAAATAATATTACACTCAATTCACAAACTTTCCCTTCATTTTTAATTACACATTCTCCATCAATTTGCTATTTCAAAATGCATTTTACATAATAAAAAAAAGGCTCAAACATGCCCTTATGTCATATAGTTGTCACCTAAACTAATATTTGACACCAATAGTGCTCAATAGCAATACCCCTCACCAATTAGTTGAAGGGTCATTTATTGTTGCTTAGCATAAGTTTAGCACGTGCTTGGTGAATCATTTGTCTCGATATATAAAATATAGTCTCTATTTAGTTAGGAATTAAAATTATATTTTTAAAATATTATGATAAAAGTTGATAAAATGTGTGATTAAAAAGTTATGAGACCTATAAAATACGAGGTTAAAATTTATTGTTGACTTTGACTAAATTTTTTTTACCAAACGTAGGTATAGGCTTGAATATTTTATCTAATTATGTCGTTCTTCTATATAGTACAAGAACACTACTACAATGAATTATGTTTTAAAAGTTTAAATTACCGAATAATTTAAACCCAAATGCGGAATTAAACAATTAAAAGTAACAAGTCACTTATTAATTGGTTTCTGGATGATTAAGTTAATTAATTCAATTTAATTAATCCTAAATGTCATCAATTTATAATGATCAAAAGCAATAAATAAAGAATATTAAATTGATCACGAAGAAAAATTCCTAGAGGATAAAAAAATCTTTGTGCAAACTTGTCAATAAAGGATCCACTAAAAAAGTAAACTAACAATTAGTCCAACACATTAACTAACTCTGAGCATCTAACTTGTAAATCACCAACGAACTCCACGCCCGAACTTCCCAAAACTCTGGGACACTTTTCTCTCTGATGAATCACCAAGAACGAACTCCTTTCATTTCGAGGCGCTGGAACTCTAAGCGTTTCTTCCCAAGCTTCAGAACTCTGAATTGGAGAATGCAGTGGTTTGTTTTTGGTGTTTGATCAATTGTCTTTCATGTTTAAATCTTTGGCTGAGGTAAGAGAAATTGGAATATGGATTTGGAATTCAAACTATGTTCTCTTGACTTAATTCAAGGCTCAACTTATATGTGAACAATGTTTTGAATGATTCTATGAATCAAAGATCTTGGTGGTTGAATCTAGAGATTTTGGATGTGTTGTTAATCTTAAAGAATGTGATTTCTATGGAATAATAATGATTGAACACACTTTCTGACAATCATAGTGTTGTATATTTATAGTAGGTATTGTTTGGGATGAAATAGGATAAGAAAAATAAGTTGTTTAATCGAAACAAGATTTACACAAATACAAGATGCTCTAGAATTAGACTAGCGCCATGCTAGCATCAGGGTGGTTCTGCTTCAATTTGCATTGCGATGTGTCGCTCAAACATGAAAGTTAGCGGTTAGGTAGCGCATGTAGGTTCATTTGTCTTCAAATCCTCTTAGTACTCTACCAACCCCAACTCTTGTAACTCCAAATATAACTTAAATAACCTATTTTTTAGAGACTCTTTTGACTTCCATTATAATTCAAATAATTAGATTTTGGCTACGGATAAAGCCATCATAAATACAATTCCAATTGGACCTGACAAACTCCCTATTTTGCATTGCGTGACGAAATCTTTCATTTCAAAGTCAAAATCAAAACGCCTAACAACAAACTACCCAAAGTCTTAATTCCCAATATTTACTTCAATGTCTTGTTAACCTATTTCCTAAAATACACGGAAACAACAATACCACGTGAAAAGCAAAAGAAAACTGACCATTAAAAAAAATATAACTAAATTATATAAAACAATATAAGTAAAATATGGGTATCACCAAAGCAAGCAATACTATGTGAATTACCAACTTAGAAATAATGTATAGAATATCAATATTGACATAACACAAAACACAGTATCAATATTAAAATCCCAACAAAAATTAACCATAACTCCCCCTAAGTCAAATATCAATTAAAAAATTTGAAAT